AACGTGTGAGGGGTGTGCCGAAATGGGTGGTGGGAGGCATGCGAACCCTGCCACTGGGGCCTTCGGTGGAGCTCCCTATGGGGCCACGAAACGTGTGAGGGGTGTGCCGAATGGGTGGTGGGGAGGCATGCGAACCCTGCCACTGGGGCCTTCGGTGGAGCTCCCTATGGGGCCACGAAACGTGTGAGGGGTGTGCCGAAATGGGTGGTGGGGACATGCGAACCGGCCACTGGGGCCTTCGGTGGAGCTCCCTATGGGGCCACGAAACCGTGAGGCATGCGAACGCAGCCACTGGCCTTCGAATGACGAAGCGTGTGAGGGGTGTGCCGAAATGGGTGAGGCATGCGAACGCAGCCACTGGGGCCTTCGGTGGAGCTCCCTATGGGGCCACGAAACGTGTGAGGCGGTGTGCCGACGAAACGTGTGAGGGGTGTGCCAAATGGGGTGGGGAGCATGCGAACGCAGCCACTGGGGCCTTCGGTGGAGCTCCCTATGGGGCAACGAAGCGTGTGAGGGGTGTGCCGAAATGGGTGGTGGGGAGGCATGCGAACGCAGCCACTGGGGCCTTCGATGGAGCTCCCTATGGGGCCACGAAACGTGTGAGGGGTGTGCCGAAATGGGTGGTGGGGAGGCATGCGAACGCAGGAGGGAAGAGGGCGAGGAGAAGGAGGAGGAGGAGGAGAAGGAGGAGAAGGAGGAACGCTGAGACCGTTTCTTCAAAACGAGGACCCAACACCACAAGATGGTTGGGAAAAAAGAAAGATAACGTTCCGCCATGGTAGCAAAGAAAGAACACGTTCTCCACCGCCACTTCTAAGATACCGTAAGGATCAGCCCCTGTGGGGACCCAAGGGCGCAAGGGTCATCCCTAACCGTCAAAGAATAACGTGCGTTGTTTGGGCTGTACTATGGTTTTCAAGATGTACCCCTAAACTTCAAAAAGAGAACTTGCAATCGTAGGTCTGCGACCTAGGATGTTGTAGGGTAGCCTCGAACCTAAGTAGAGATCCTCCTCCGCAGCCCCCACACCCACAAGTGATCCCCCCGCCATCACGCAAGCTGTAGTTAGTACACTCTGCGCAGGCTGTTTTGCTGGGGCTCATGCGTGGGCAGACTGCTCACGTATAGCCTGGTGCAGCAACAACAACTGAGACTGTGTGATGAGTTTGTGCTGCGGATGCTGTGCTCTGGTGCTGCTACTGCTGTGCTGTGCTGCAAGAGGGTGTGAAGGCTTACCCTAACCTATGAAAGAGAGCGTGCGATCTTCGGGCTGCTACCCAGGGCTCTGGAGGGTAATCCAGGACCTATGTAGGAAGTTCCTCCTCCGCTACCACCTTAATAAGCCACCGCCTCCAAGAGTAGCAAGGTGAGAGGTGTATTGCGGGTCAGATCGAATACCATAATGCAGAGGAAAGCTAGTACACTTGGGCTGGAGTTTGCCGCCGTCAATGTGTACAGAAAAAATGGCTGTGGCCAAAGTATTGCTGCCTGGGAGGCTGCATGTGTCCTCCTCCTCCTCCTCTAATTTGTCGTCGTCGTCCTCCTCCTCCTGCTTCTCCTCTTCCTCCTCCACCTCCCCCTCCTCTTCGAACGCGTCCTTCCCCACCACCCCATGCAAACACGTTGAACGAAACGTTGGTGGAAAGACGAAACACATAATCGAACATCCGGAACATGGGGAAGGAACACGAGGACGACGATGAGGAGCAGCAGGACGAGGAGACGAGAAGGCCCACTAGAAATAGGAGCGGAAAGATAACGAGGGATAATAATTGAAATCCGCCGATCCGGCGTGTGAGTTTCTGAAAGCGTGGGCTTGAGCTCGCTGAAGCTTCGCTCTGGGAGGGGGGGGGATCCGGCGAATTATCCACGTAATTCAGTGAACGCTCCAGCGCGGGGGGTGTCCAAGAATCTACGGGGGGGGGCTCGAGCGAGGACGGGGGGGGGAGGTCGAGCTCAAGCGGGGGGAGGGGGGGGGGGGTCGCAGGAGGAAGCTCGAGCGGGGACGGAGGGGGGTGTCGATCTCAAGCGGGGGGGGGGGTCAGCGCGGGGGGTGGGTGGTCCCAGCATCGAGGAGGGGGGGGGAGGGGAGCTCGAGCGACGGACGGGGGGTGGGGGTCGAACGGAGGGGGGGGGTCGAGCTCAAGCGGACGGGGGGGGGGGTCAGGCGCGGGGGGGGGGGTCCAAGAATCGAGGGGGGAGGGGGGGAGCTCGAGCGAGGGGGGGGGATCGAACGGAGGGGGGGGTCGAGCTCAAGCGGGGGAGGGGGGGGTCGAACTCAAGCGGGGGGGGGCAGGAGGAAGCTCGAGCGGGGACGGAGGGGGGGGGTCGAGCTCAAGCGGGGGGGAAGGTCAGCACGGGGGGGTGCGGGGTCAAGAATTCGAGGAGGGGGGGGAGGTCGAGCGAGGAGGGGGGCGGGGGTCGAACGGGGGGAGGTCGAGTCAAGCGGGGGGGAAGGTCGGCGGGGGGGGGGAATCCAGGGGGGAGGGGGGGGAGCTCGAGCGAGGACGGGGGGGGGGGTCGAACGGAGGGGGGGGTCGAGCTCAAGCGGGGGGGGGGGTCAGCGCGGGGGGGGGGGGGGTCAGCGCGGGGGTCCAAGAATCGAGGGTGGAGGGGGGGTCCAGCTCAAGCGGGAGGGGAGGGGGGTCAGCGCGGAGGGGGGGAGGTCCAAGAATCGAGGGGGGGGAGCTCGAGCGAGGACGGGGAGAGGGGGGGGGTCGAGCTCCAGCGGGGGGGGGTCGCAGGAGGAAGCTCGAGCGGGACGGAGGAAGGGGTCGAGCTCAAGCGGGGGGGGGTCCAAGAAACCGGGGAGGGCAGCGGGGGGAGGAGGGACGTCGTCGTCATCATCGTCCGTCGTTGACCCGGTCGTCGGTCGTCGTCGTCGTCGTCGTCATCGTCCGTTCCCACACACATCGGGAGCGGCCCAGATCGGCGGCACTGGCGGGAGGCCATTACAATAACAATTCTCCGGCAACCGACTTGGGGATGCAAGGCTGTGAGGTATCTCTTCGACTGCTGTCGTGTTGTGGCGAGCGTACTGAACCTAGGCACGGTTCCTAGAGAAATCCGTGAATGCTGCGTCAGGAAGCCCTTCCGCGGACCCTCTTGGAGCCACTCTTGCGGTCCGTGTGTTCGCCTGGGGTCGCCATGGGGCTATCTTGGAGCCTCTGGACATCTCGTGGACCGTCTGGGCAACATATCAGCGCCCACTCGGGACAGCTTGGAGCTTTCCATGAAGGCCCGGGCCAGCCGGGGGGCATTTTACACACGTGCCTCATGGGCACTTTTGGGCCGTCTTGGCAGCATACCGGCATCAAATATGGAGAGACTGGCGCTGTCCATGGAGACCAGGGCCAACTCGGTGGAGCCCTCAACCCCGGAATCTTTGCTAAATGGCAGTGCCGCGTGTATGCTTACATGTAGGTCACACGTATAGATCGATATATTCATATGTATATCGTTATGTATACACCGTTGCAAAAGCGTTACTGCGTATACGGTGTAAACCCTTCTTTTTCAAATGCCTGAGCATACTGAATGGTCGCCTGTCAATGCTAAACCATCCATCGGTGTGAAGATGCTTTTGTGCACGAGACACTCGTAAATACACAACAGCAGATGTGCAACCACATGTTCTCACACACACACACACACGTCCGTATACAGCTAGGAGCATGTATGTGTATATGCATCTATATGTATGAACAAAACACCCATAACAATACGTACACATACATATTTGTGTGTTTTCGCATCGCCCTAACATCTCGAACATATACATACATATATATATATATATATATATATATATATTGCGGTGACTGCGATACGTATACGTGCGTATATATAAGTACATACACCTATATGATTTTACAGCAGGCATGCGCCTGCGTATACATACATCTAAGTATGCGAAGTGCGCATGCGCAAGCGCATGCATATACGATGCAGTTTTGTAAGTATACGTGCGTGGAGATATGTACGCCTTTACATATATGTATATATATATATATATATGTATGTATGTGTATATATATGTGCCCCTCCCCCCTATATACATATGTATGGTAGCCCCCCCCCCCCCCCCCCCACATGATCATACATATTCGTCTTTACCGCGGCCGCCGATCGATATCTTCTTTCTCCGTTCCCTTCTCCTGTCTCTTCCTTTCTCTCCTCCTCCTCCTCCTCTTCCTCCTCCTCCTCCTCCCCGTGCTATTCCTTCTCGGAATCATCGGAATCGTCAGAAACTAAAGAAAATCTGAGAAAAAAAAAAAAAAAAAAAAAAAAAAAAAAAAAAAAAAAAAAAAAAAAAAAAAAAACTTTAAACACCATGATTTCTGGAGAATTTCTGGGACGGCTGGCGGCCAAAATTCGCCAGAAATCGTTTTTTTTTCGCCTCCTCCTCCTCCTCCGCCTCCACCTTCTCCCTCTTCTCCTCCCCCTCCACTCCTTCTTCTCCTCCTTCCCCTCTCCCCCTCCTCCGTTATGCCGCCGGCCGTCAGCATGAGGGTAGGTACCGCAATTCCACCGAGTGCTATCCAATCTGTCGCAACCGTTGCGTTGCTATGTTTCCAGGCGGAGCGCACGCATAGAGGTCTACAAAAGATGGTGGTTCATACGTGCGCGCACGCATCGCACCGACTGCCATCGGCTACGACTGCGTCGCGCATCATGTGCGCTCGCACGGCGCGGTCGCCTCCTCAGTCAGCCTCGCTGCGGCGCGCCGTCGCCGACTCAGAGGGCGGCTGCGGATGCCAGCTGAGCACCTGGGGAGGGAGAGACGACGACGAACGATGCACACTGAAGATGGAAGTAAGAAGCAAGAGAGCGTGGGCACGACGACGATGAGTCAAAGATGTGGCACGGCTGCGGCGGGGACAATCAACGCGACGTCAATCGCGCGCACTCGGGAACACATGCGCGCTGTATAAAACACACCCCTCGACATCGGCACTCCGTAATAAAAACACACCCCTCGACATCGGCACTCAGTGCGCCGCGTCCATGACCTCCCAGATGGCATCCGCGGTGGCCGCCCACATATCCTTGCCCTTGTTCCAGTACTCGAACTGGGCCGAGCGAACCGAAGCCGCGAGACGCCTGCTGCCTGGGAGGTCCGTGCGCGTGCCAATGAGGGTTTTGATGGACCTCCAGGCGCGGTCGATGATCTGCGCCCCTGTCTTTACCCTGATCTTGGAGCCGTCGGGCAACTTGTGGGTGACAACCTTCGAGTAGACTGGCTTCAACCAAACCCACTTCCTGCCGATCTTCTTCCGCTTCTTGCAGTGCACGACGTGGTCGCGCACGAGCCCCGACGCGCGCATCTTGTAGCTGCGGGCCCCGTCAGAGTGCAAGATGACCTTCCTGTTCTCTAAGCGGCTTTTTAGGAACGGCGCCCAATCCGTCTTCTTGATGGCGCCTGAGCCTGGCGCGTTGGCCTCGGTGCCGTCTGACTGGGTCTTCCACAGAACGAGGCTATCAGGGCGCCCGCGCTCGACGACGCCCGCCCACTGTTCCCGCGTCTTGGAACGACCGTCGTCGGACAGCTGGGCGCGGAAGACCGACTCATCTGCCTCCACGTCGAACCAGCGCCGCTGAGCTTCGTCGCCGAAGACAATGTTGGGTTCGTTCTTTTCCACGTAGATCTGCCGCGCGGCTGCCGCGGCCGCGCTCATGTCCTCGATCATCTTGTGGTTGGCACCTGTCAGCAAGTGTATCTGGGCGGTGGTCATGCCGAGCGTGAGGCAGACGAGGACCTTGGCCTTCGTCGACAAACTCGACGATTGGCAACCCCCGCCAGACTTGAAGACGGGGTGGGCGGTGCACGGGTCGACGGTCTTGCCGCGCAGCCTACCGCCGTTGCATCGCCAATGCGGGCCGCGATTGTCATCGTGCACCCGCGCGCCGCAGGTTCCGACGCCGCAGTGAGGGCAGGTGCGGCCTTCCCAGTCAAGCAGGACGCCATCCTCGAGGAGCAGGTCTACCATCTGGTCCGCAGTTTTCCCGTGGAAGCTGTCGTAGTTGCGGCGCCAGGTTTCGCGCTCCTTGCGGGATTTCACGGTCTTCTTCCCGTGGCGCGCGCACTCGACCTTCTCCGCTTGCTTCCTGCGCTGGCCCATCCTGTCCTTGCCCCTCTTGCGCAAGGGGAACGGCCTGAAAGCACTCGCAGGCCGCTTCTTCGGCGCGGGGGCGGCAGCAGAGCGTTTGATAACACGCTTTCCCATCGCCAACGGTGGCAGAACGGTGGCCCAGACGGTCGGTTGAGAAAAACGCATTGAGCCAAAATGTGCTGCGGGTGGGACTGGGGGCCTCCTTGTCTGGAGGTTCGTCGGCTTCCTCTGGTTGTGGCGGTGGCGCTGTCGGTAGTTATGGTAGGAGTGGTTGTATTAGCAACAGTAGTAGTGGTGGTAGTACTACTAGTCGTCGTAGAGCTGTAGCAACAGTAGTAGTGACGGTAGTAGTACTAGTCGTGGTAGAGCTGTAGCAACAGTAGTTGCAATAGAAATGGTAGTGGTAGTCGTAGTAGAAGAACAAAATCCCTACGACGCCCGTATCAGATAGGGCATCATAAAATCAGGATGCCCTTTTTGTGCAGCAATGCGCCTGTTCACGTTAGACTGATCATGCTTGTCGGCGGCTCCATCGTCGCCTGATTTTCTGGGTGGGTGGTTCGTCCTGTGGTCTTGATGTCATCATTGCACAGCTTTTCCTACGACGCCCGTATCAGAGAGGGCATCCTAAAATCATGATGCCCTTTTTGTGCAGCAATTCGCCTGTTCACGTTAGACTGAACATGCTTGTCGGCGGCTCCATCGTCGCCTGCTTTCCTGGGTGGGTGGTTCGTCCTGTTGTCTTGATGTCATCATTGCACCGCTTTTCCTACGACGCCCGTATCAGAGAGGGCATCCTAAACTCAGGATGCCCTGTTTGTGCAGCAATGCACCTGTTCACGTTAGACTGAACATGCTTGTCGGCGGCTCCATCGTCGCCTGCTTTTCTGGGTGGGTGGTTCGTCCTGTTGTCTTGATGTCATCGTTGCACCGCTTTTCCTACGACGCCCGCATCAGAGAGGGCATCCTAAAATCAAGATGCCCTTTTTGTGCAGCAATGCGCCTGTTCACGTTAGACTGAACATGCTAGTCGGCGGCTCCATCGTCGCCTCCTTTTCTGGGTGGGTGGTTCGTCCTGTTGTCTTGATGTCATCATTGCGCCGCTTTTCCTGCGCGGCATCCTGCCTGGCAGAAGCGCGTTCCGCCCTAAATTCCCCCTGGTCCGCCTCCTCCTCCTCCGCCTCCTCCTCCTCCTCCTCCTCCTCCTCCTCCTCGGTCGGCCCCCTGCTTTGCCCCTGGTCGTGCTCCCCGCCGCGCCGTGCCTCTCTTTCCCCGTTAGCGAGCGAAGCGTTCTTTGGCCTCGCGGCGGGCTCCTGCTTTGCCTAATTGTCATGAGAAAAGCGAAGGATGGCCCTCGAGTGGGTGGCCCTCCAAGTCGCCCAGTCCCTCAGAAGCTTCGTCGCCTTCGGCGGCAGCTCCTGGTCGCGCGCGCGCGAGAAAGCCTCGAACCAGGACTTCCAGGCCTTGAGGGCCTTCGCGTCTGCAGCTCCCTTCGCCTGTGCGTTCTCCTCGGCCGCGTTGCTCTCGGCCAGCTCCCTCGTCTGTTTCCGCGCTCGCTCCTGCGCGGGCGAGGCAGCAAGTCACCCGAACAGACGGGGGGGGTTTCGGCGGCGTGGGCTTGCTCGAGTTGCGTTTGCTTCGTGCTTGGTGCTCTTTGCTGGCGTTGCTGTCGTTGCGGTTGCGGTCGTTGCAGTTGCGGTCGTTGCGGTTGCGGTCGTTGCGGTTGCTGCCGTTGCGGTTCCGTCTTTTGCGGTTGCGGGCAGGGTGGCGGTGGTGGAATTTCAAAACGTCGTGTCCCGAAGCTGCTTGTTGGACCGCGCACGCTTCTCGGCGAGCTCCCAGTTGTCCGCCGCCTCGCCCCGGCACCAATCAACCCGGGCATGAGCAGGCGGGGCAATGCGTTTATATGTTTGGAGATGTTTGAAGCGCAACGAGGAAGATAGATCGCAGCCTGCTCTTCCAGGTCCGCGATCTTCTTCAAAAGCGGCCTCTGGAATCGCATCTTGAGCTTGTGCTTCGCCGCTTTGGCCTTGTCCTTTTTGACTCTGGCCTTGCGCGCGCGGTTGTTCTCGAGCTTGCGGTCGCACTGCTCCGCGCCGTGTTCGGGGTTGCCCATGGTTTCCCAGCGGGGCGCTGGCTAAGCGAAGCAACGGCCTTGAACACGCGCGTGCTGCACGAAACAAAAAAGAGAAGGAGAACGAGCGAAGAAGGAGGAAGAGGAGGAGGAAAAGGAGGGGGAGGAGGACAACGGGGAGGAGGAAGAGGAGGAGGAGGAGGAGGAGGGAGAGGAAGAGGAGGAGGAGAGGAGGGGGAAGAGGAAAAGGGAGAAGGGGGGGGGGAGGAGGACGATGAGGGAGGAGGAGGGGGGGGGGGGAGGGGCAGGAGGAGGAGGAGGGGAAGGAAGAGGGGGGGGAGGAGGAGGAGGAAGAGGAGGAGGAGCAGGAGGAGGAGGAGGAGGAGAGAGGGACATCAGGAACATGAGGAGGACGCAGAAATTGGACGCAGAGGTTGAGGAATAGAAATGGGTTGCAATCCATTGAGCTGCATCCGTTTGGATTGCAATCAAATGGGTTTCGACTGCCAGCGCATCAACGCATCATGAAGAAGAGCATGATGAGGGAAAGGCGAGGAACACTGGAGAGATGAAAGGAGAATGCGCATGATCATGTGCGTGTGTGTGTGTGTGTGGAGGGGGGGGGGGGGGGCGAGCATGCGCATGTATGCATGTATGTATGCATGTATGCCCCCCCCACCCCCCCGCGCCCCCAAACCACCAAAACCACAAAATCGTCACTGATCGATTGCTCCTCGTCGCTCTCCTCCTCCTCCTCCTCCTCCCCCTCCCCCTTGAAAATTGCGAAAGTAACGAAAACCATTGAAAAAAACGGAAAACAATTCCGATTTCGGGGGAACCTTGCCCCTCCCCCCCCCAGAAGTTCGACCGACATCATACTTGTTTGTGGCTGTTTTTTGTGTCATCAAGCGTTTTTCGCTGACTCCTCCCCTCTCCGGCCCCTCTCACCCTCCCCTTCCTCCTCCCCCTCTTCCCCCCCCCCCCCCCCCTCCTGTCGCAGTCGCTGTTCTGCGATATTTTCTGAACGGCGCTCTGTGTCATCGCGCAAGCCCTTCGGGCGAGCGGTCGGCATCGACCGTTTGGCGGGCAAGACGGCCTACAAACAATAGTGGTTCATACGTGGGCGCGCACGTCGCGCCGACGGCCCTCGGCGCCGACTGCGCAGCGCCCAATGCGCGCTCGCAGGGCGCGGCCGCCCGCTCACTCGGCATCGGTGGGGGGCGCCGCCGCCGGCCCCGAGGCCTGATCGCCCTGTTCAATCAGGCGCCCGAGCTCGGCCTCCAGGGCGCCGTCGTTGTCGTCGTCGCCGTCGACGGCGATCGCCCCCCTGCGGGCCGAAGCGACGATGGAGGCGAATATCGCCTCTTGCTCCGCGGCGTCCACTCTCGACAGCGGACCCCCGCATCCCACCATGGGCCTCTTCGCCCTCTTCACTGGCGGAGGCGAGCACAAGTCCTCGCAGGCGCCGTGGCGCGCCCTGGCGAGGCTCTTGAAAATGGCGATCTGCTCATCCTGGTCCTCCTTCGTCAGCTCCCCGCAACGTCCCACGATGTCAGGCTGCGCGGCGCTTGCGGCGGGGGCGCTCTCCTCTGGCCCATCCATGCCGCCGCCGAGACCGAACGCGTCGCCCTCATATGGTGCGTCTGCCGCGTCGTCGGGGTGAGACGCCGAAACGGCCGCGGCTGGTGCGTCTGCCGCGCCATCGGAACGAGACGCCGAAGCGGCCGCGGGGGCGGACGATGCGCTTGCCGCCGCGCCTGGCTCGACGAAGCCTGACATGCTGCCGACAACGGAGACCGCGCGTGCAAGGTCATCGCCAAACATCGGGGCAATGCGGATCGTCGCAACCGTGGGCACGTCACGGCCCTCCGCCAGACTGCTCATGCAGCCGGTAGACCATTCCATCTTGTCGGCATAGTCTGAAGGGAGCGGGCGGACAGCGGGCGACGACGTGTCCCGCACCTCGCTGGCGAAGAGGTCGGGGGCTCTGGGGTTGGGCCACGGCGTGAACTCGGCGCCGCCCTCCAGATCTGCGGACGCCGCGCGCCAGGGCACCCCGGGGTCCGTGACCACGACAAAGTGCGACCTGGCGAGGATGGCATTGAAGTCCTCCTCGGTCTTCGCCTCCTCGAGCGACGGGGCGACGATCTTCTTGACGCGGTCCAAGTCGTACTTGTTGCGCGTCACGGCATCCAGCGCCGCCCTCTCCGCGTCGCGGTCGCAAGTGTTAGCAGCGGCTCGCCTGCGCGACCTTTGCTCGAAACCGCAGCCGCCCCACCGAGCCCGCAGCAGAGCGTCCTCCTCTTTGGGGTTGAGGAAAGCCTTGGGAACGTCAGCCGTTACCTTCAGGCGGTCACGCGCTGGCCCCACCACCGACACCGCGATTTCCAAGTGGGAGAGGGTCGCAAGGGTTCGCTTCGATCGGGCCCCCCACCCGACGAAAGGAACCGCACTCCCCCCGGGAAAGAGCGGGCAGCAAGTGCAGGGGCCACGCGCTCTAGCGGCTGCTTCCGCTCGTGCTGCGGCTTGATCGTGTAGAATCGTGTAGTGCCTTACGGTGGAGGCCTTGGAAAAGAATAGTTTCGATGAGGAATCAAGGGTCCCGCGGCCGATGGGCGCGCAAACATTTGCCGCGGAGCCCGCGGGGGGGATGCGCCAGAGTCTGGCACTCAGGAGGGCGTTCCTCCTTATCTAGTGCCCCCACCGTATCTGGTAGCCCTCGAGCTTCCCCAGCATAATCTGGAACGCAATCGAGCCCGACCTGAAGTTTTTGCCGCAGTCGATCTCGTGCCCCCCGCCCCCCCGCGGGCGCAGCTCAAGATGGTCGCAGCATCGACTCTGTTCTTCTCGAAGCTGACAATCTTGAGGATGCGGTGGGTGGAGCATTCGGAGTCCGCGGGGTTGTCGCGCATGATGAACAGCTGCGTCGTGTGCGGAATGGCAGGCTCCTTCTTGAGAGACAACGGGCCCTGCAAGCCCTTGAAATTACCATTGCAGCGCAGCTCGTGGACCCTATCAAAGTCAATTGGGCCCCCGTAGTTGGACGCGACGTCGGCGAATGCTATCAACTTCGCAGTGCTCGAATGTGCGATCGGCACCAAGGGGGGGTTCAACATTGAAAGGTCACCAGCGGAAGACAACCTGTCCTTCCTGACGCACTTCGAAGGGTGATCGTCCAACTTGCCCCCGCTGGCCATCAAGCTCGCCTCCTCGACGGTCAGCTTGCCGTCGCCGGCGGCGTCGTATGCGAGCTGCCCCAAAGAGGGAACCTGGCCGGCAGGGGCGCCGGCCATGGCTGGCGAGGCGAGAAAGATGGAGCGGGCGTAGGCCTTGGCGGGCGGGCAAGGCCGCGCAAACGCTGAGCGCAGACGAGCTGCGGGGGGCAAGCCGCCAGGTTGGAGGACAGTGGCAGTTGTGGACAGGAAGAGGAGGGGCGACGGCGACGTGATCACGATTATGGAATGCGGGACTGGTGCTCGGCCCTTTTTCTGAGTGGGCTCCGTGAAGAGGCGTTCAGGCGCATCGTTGACATCGCTCTAATAAGCTGAAATCGCGCGGGGCAGCGCTGGCCGCTGGCTGCCCCGCGTCGCCAAGCCGAGCCGCGCGGGCTCATTTGCCGAAGTCCTTGTGCCACAAGTCGCTCAGCATGTCCCCCGTGCGCTGCCAGTAGTCGGCACCGCGGTTCCAATATTCCCACTGGAACGAATGGGTCTTCTGGCGGAGAAGCTTTGTATTCACGACCTTGACGCTGCCGAGGTGCTTGCGGAGACCGTGCCAGCAGTTGTCGATTACCTGCGCCCCCGCCATCACCCACAACTTCTTTTTGGGCGCGCCGTCCTCGGCAATGTTGTGAAAGCGGGGCTTGGCGCATTTTGGCCTCGGCCAGAACTTCCCGTTGACCTTGGCGCGCTTGCGGCAGTGGACGACGCAGTCGTGCTTCGCGCCGTCCAACTTGACCCTTTAACTCTTGGCGCCGTCCGCGTGCAGAATGACGCGGCGGCCCTTGAGCCACTCCTTCGCCGCGGGCATCCAGTCCCGCTTGCGAGTGGCCCCTGGGCCTGGCGCCCTCTTCCTCGTCTTCGCGGGCTCCAGCCTAAAGAGCACGAGCGCGTCTGGGGCGCTTTTCTCCACGATCCCGCCCCGCTGCTCCCAGTCGACAGGGCTGGGGCCGCCGTCCTCGGACACCTTTTTTTTTCGCGAGGTCCACCTCGTCGGCCTCGATGTCCTTCCAGGCCTCGCCCTGGCCGAACTGGATGGGCTTCTCTTTCGCCGCGGCGTGTCTCTCCCTGGTCGCATACAGGCGCCCCTATATGCCCTCGACCATCTTGTGATTCTTCTGGGCGAGGCGCCCAATGCGCACCTGCGAGGCCCCCGCCACGGACAAGAATAAGGCGGGCGCCTGATCTCGCGGGGGCGCGTGCGATTGCCCTGTGCCCGCCACGAAGATCGGGTGGAACGCGCGCGGCAAGACGCGCCGATGGCACCCGCTGTGGTTGCGCCTGTGGCTCCATCCGCCCTGCTTATCAGACCACTTGTTGAGCTTGCCGAGGGTGCCATTAGTGCAATGCGGGCAGCTGGCCCCCGCCCACTCTGGCAAGTGGCCGTGCTTCCTCAGCGCGTCGATGACGTGTTTCTGCCCCTTGTGCATGGTATGCGGCTTGGGAGGGTTGTCCGCGGCCTTCATTGCCGCCTTCTCTGCTTTCTTCACCGACTGGCTCTGGCCCGCCGCCCTGCGCATGCCCTTCTTCGGCAAAGGGGAGTTCGGCATCGCAGCCCGCGGCGGCTGCCCCGCCAGGGGGCGCAGGCGGCGGCGGCGGAGATCACTTGAGCCAGTGCACGGCGCTCTGCCATCTGAAGCGGAAGCGGGGGGGGGGGCGCGAGCGGGGTAAGGGCCAAACGCGCCGCTGCCTGCGGCTCGCGTTTCCGTCGGCTGTCGAGTGCGCGCGCAACTCAAATTCATTGGTTTTCACCAATGGCTTCCCTCGCTAGCGCCGAGGGCCGCGCTCCGGGCCCGCGCCTCAGCCGAAGCGGCGGCGCGCGGCGCGGCGCCCGAGCGAAAGGCCCACGCGCTGGCGGCGCGAAGGCTGCTCGCCCTCCGCATCGAACGAGAGGGCGCGGTGAGGCGGCAGGCCAAGCTCGGCCTGGGCGCGCCATTCCATCCAACTTCAAGTAGTCGACCAATCTGCCTCCCTGTCGATCGCCCATCCAACGATGTAGAGAGACGTCAGACGAACGGAGCACGTGCGAGCCTTGGATGCAACCGCAGATCGTGATCGCATCGGCCAGATCTCTGAAATCGTCGCTCGGAATCGGATTGATTGGCTCGACCGCAGATCGTGATCGGCAGGGTCGCAGAAATCGCAACTCGAAGTCGGGTCGATCGGCCCAGTCACGTCGACATGATCGCTCGCATCGGCGCTGGCAATCGAAACGATCCGCGGCGCCGCGCCAGACGTCGTGAACTGATGGGGCCAGGGCATGCGCCTGTTCGTTGCTGGAGATGAGCGTCGCGTGAACCTCCAAGCACATGTGCGGGCGGACAATGTTCGGGCCCGCGGCTGGGCCCGACGTAGCCCACTGGTGGGAGGACAGCCGCCCGCGACGAACTGCACGAAGGCCTCGCTGCACTCGAAGCGGCGGGGCCAGACGCACGCAGCGAAGCGGTCCTTGGCGCGAGGCCGACATACATTGTATGTTTTTTTTTTCCACCCGCCCTTCCTCCCTCCCCCGTCCTCGCTAGCTGCCAGACGCAATGACTGGTTGGGCCCGACATTGCGCCGGGCCGCGGCTGGTGGCGCGCCGCCGCCGTAGGCGGGGTTGCCGATGAACGCAAACTCGCGCGCCGTGCTGGTGGCGGGGAATGGTTTCGCACCGGCGTTTGAGCACAGACGGCTGCGCTGATGGCGTCGAACTGTGCGTCGTTTCAAATGACAGCAGCAACGCCATCAGCGCCGCGATCACCAGCAGCAGCACCACCACCAGCAACAGCACTAGCAGTATCAACGTCAGGATCACAACTGCTTTGCTTTCGTTTCAACCATTCTACGGCATGATTTGCGGTATGAATGTTTCCCATATTGATTTCAGGCTGCGTAATAAATCACGCTCAACTGAATGAGATTTTCTCAGAAGCGGAGGTGGGGGCACATTTTTTGGGTTGCCCTGTTTCCCCCCCCCCCCCCCCCCCCTTGAGCCCGCAAATAAAAATCCTCATCTCTATTCCCCTGGCTCTCGCCTGCCCCCCGCCCCCGCCCCGCTCTCTCGCCCGTCCGTGGCGCTTCCTTTCCCCGCCTGGCAATCGCTCGTCCGCTAACCCCAGTGCCAGTCGGGCGGCGGGGGCCCGCGCGGGTTCAGGTGGAGGTGGTGCGCCCTCCACCAGCGCAGCTGGCGGAAGAGCCAGTCGACCTGGGCGCGCGGGCAGACGGCGCAGCCCCTTGTCCCTGAACCCCCAGCTGAGCGAGAGGGGTCGTTTGTTTTGTCGCCCCCCATGACCTGCTTATTATTCTCCTTCTCGGTTTTCGCCAGCTCGGCCTCCGCCACCCGCTTCTGTCGCAGGAGTTCCTTCAGGTCTCTGTTGAGCTTTCTCTCGTGCTGCGCGTCAAGGCAGTTCATGAACCTCTCGCGGGCGCGGCCACCGCGCTCCAGTTCCAGCTCCCGGCGAACCCTGGAAGACCAACAGCGCGCCCAGACGCCTGCGTTCAGTTTCGGTTTCGGCGAGAGGCGCCGCAAAGCAGCGCTGCTCGCCGAACCAAAACTACAAGGTGGGAGGGTTCGCGCGGCTGGTCTCTCAGTCCCCCGCTGGCCTTATCTTTC